TGAGGATGAAATGGAGCAGAAGATAATGATGCTTTGGATCCCCATTGTGGAGAAAGGTGGGGTATAAATGAAGTAAACAGATAATAAATACACTTGAATAAATGCACCCTGATTTGGATGGACCAGGCTAGCCTGATCTTGTTGGATCTTGGAAGCTAAGCAGGGTTGGCCTTGGTTAGTACTTGGATAGGGACGGCCAAGGGAGTCCAGGGTTGTTACGCAGCAGTAGGCAATGATAAACCACCTCTAAACGTCTTTTGCCTTGAAAACACTATAGGATTGCCATAAGGCACCTGCAACTAACACTTTCCACCACCGCATAACTGAAGATGGGGGCAGATAAAAGGTAGGTTGGTTGGTGGGAAAGAGAGAAGAAAGCAAAGAAAGGTGAAGATATGGGAGCTGCCATGAGGGAGAAAATAAGAAATCATGTGGAGAAGGAGATACAGGGGGAAATGGCGTGCCCCTGCAAGTCCTTGTGGGTTCCCCACAGCAGTGGCTGGAATTGTGTAGACTTTTCCCAGGGAGAGTCTGCTAGGAAAAGGGAGGAAAAGCTGAAGACCATGAGGCAGATAACAGTAGGTTGGCTGGTGGGTGGGCAAGATCAGAAGCAAACAGGGGAAAGGGACAGGCTGTAGGGGCTTTCAGGGAAGGGAAAGTGGAAATAGTGGGGAGGGTAGAATGAGATGACTCCCAAAGTCCTTGTGGGTACCCCACTTGTTCAGCAACCAGCAACCTATTTGGGACACAGATCATGTGCACAATTAGACCCGACGTAGGTGTGAATGCCGGGCAGCTTTAAAGGGCGCGATCAGACAACAACATCTGGGAAGCGCCCCACAGCCATTGGCAACCTGTTCTGTTCCGCCGTAGAAACGGAGTTAAAAGACACTGGGGAAAATCCAGTAGTAAATGGGTTGTGACAGGCCACAGACGGACTTTCCGTGTCTGATTGCTCCAGCACGCTCTCATGGCGTCGGGATGCTCTGATCAGGCCATCCCGACTCCATGCCATTGTTTCCCCCCCCTTCACAGTATGCACATCATTGCAAACTCCATAGGGAGCCCTCGGTGCAGAGGTGCGATTCACCAATCCCGCATTTAAGCACATGGGGGGGAAAGGCACACACAAAAAACAACTCATCTGCAGTTGCATCTGATCACACACTGACGGACTGCGCCCACAGTTTCAAAGGGAGGTGTGATCAGTGCAAGTCAAATTCCTCTAGAGGAAATAGCCTTGCTCCCCCCCCCACATTTTTTTTCTGGCGTGTGTGACTGCAACCATTATCTACCATAATTATCTAGCTACACTTTTAGTAACATTCTAAAGACACACTGCAAGTATTTGCATTGGACAATATGCAACATTATTCACAGAGTCTGCTTTAAACATTACATGTTGAATGTACCAATTTTCATGCCACCAATAATTTCCTAATACTTTTAAATTATTTTTTGTGTTCAGAATAAGCATGTAGAGTTGTTTTTATAAAAGCATAAAAATAGAGCTTCATAAAAAGTTCACAAACTATTTTACTTAAAAGTAGAAGCTATCAAATAAATGCTCTTAAAACCATCTCTTCCGTCATTATCTAAGTCTCCAAATTATAAATATATTCCAAAACAGTCAGATGTCTTATTCTTGCTGCACAGAAAATTAAGACTTCAGAGTGCTGCCCTTCACCACAAAATGACTTTCCCATATGTGTACATTTCCCCTTTTATAACAGCAACTGTGCTGTTTTCAAAAGGATTCTGTCAAGGCTATTCAGCCCCAAATTAGATCTCTTTGGTTTATTTTGGAGAGGCAGCACATTGTGGAATCAGGAATCCTACAACTTTCAATAATCTGACAGTTCACAATAATGGGGCTCAGAGGTGAGAAGAAGGACACTGTGATAACACAAGAACTTCCTGCAATCACAGCAACCCTACAGTCCTTTGCATCTTGATGCAGCCACCGGAGGGTATACCTGTGATGTCATCAATGCTCAATTTTTTTTTTAGTGTCCAGTATGTGGTATTACTATTTTTCATTATTTCTCTTTTTCAGTTTATTACTCTTAAAGTTATTTACAAAGATATATGTATTGATGAATATAATCTCAGCAATCAAGCCAACACTATTCAACAAAGTAACAAACTACATTTGCCTCAACAATGGAGAGGCCAGTTAAGAATGCAAGTGACTCCATTTTAGGTCTCGTTGTCCCAAACAGGTCACGCCATACTCTGCTTACTCGTGATTAAGATATTGTTTGATTCACTACGAGGTAAAGAATAGAATTAAATGCTCAATTTAAAATATTCCCAACCTTGAATTCCTTAACTCCTTATTTGTACAAAGAATGCTATGAGAGTAAAAGGAAACAACAAATGAAAATGCAGAGACATCAACAGAAATACAAAGATATACCTTTTTATTATAGATATCTGAGGCCAAACTAGATGTGGCCCTGGAAATCCACAGTTAGGATCTCCTGCAGTTTTTAACCTGGCTAAATGTGTTGATTCTGAGGAGAGACAGGGCTTGGAATGTGTGAGGGTTAACTCTCTTCTGCATACTGTTTTCGAGTCCCAGGTATCCTGGAGATTTGCTATTTGCCCTATAGGGAAAAATATACATGATAGGTTACCTGTATGCTTCCCCCCATGGGCAAATTAATATTCAGGGGGGTTCTGAGAAAGCGAGGGGGTGTGTGTTAAAACTCCTTCCCCCAATCTGAGCATCCTTACCTGCAGCTGCTTTTGACCTTTTTCTAAGGAAAAGTCACAGACATCCTGGAGTATACCCAATTTGGCCTGTAGATCTCAAGATGTAAACGGAAGTGAATGCAATGAGTTCAGTGGGACTTGTTTCCCTCTGTCTTCAGGACCGCAGAGTCTTAAGCTAGCATGTGCCATTCACATGCATGTGCCATTTTAGATCTACTTGCATTACAAACTGTCCTCACAACACTCACGTCTACTGAAAAATCTGTTGAGTACAACTACTCAAACAACTCTGTTATGTTATTTTAAATATTAATATAGCCTACAGAGTGGAGCACTTCCATTTTAAAGCTTCCCTTTGTTTGGAGTAAAGAAAATAACTGCAAACAAGCAAAGTAATCTAGTCTCCCTACCTTCTCTAGTTGCATGAGAACTGGTCAGATTTTAAGAAATGTACATGAGAGTTACAAAAAAACCTAAAAGCAAAAAAATATGGTTTGGCTGTAAATAAAGAATCGGTATTTATAACTGAAAAATAGGTGCTCATAATGAAATGACCAATGTTTAGTTCGGTAAGACTTTCGATATTATATTTGCTCATTAAAATTCCTGTGGCAATGAAAACAGTATTAGCTGTTATCAATGACAGAAATCCTGCCCTCATTTAAGCATCTCTATAGAATTCCTGGAAGTCCCACTCAATTCAATGGGGCTTTCTTCCAGATAAATGTACATAAGATTGCAGTCTTTAGCCCCATTTAAATGGAAAGCTTAAATGATATATAACTGAACGCAGGATCACAGCCATCACCATTTAGAAGAGCCAACATTAGGACAGGTTGGAAAGCAGGACTGCAAGACCTTTTACAGAGAGAAAACCTACTAAAAAGCTTGTTTGTCTGTCTTAGTTCTCTGTACCTTTCATGGACAGAAAGCCAGTAGTCACGGAACACATTATACACTCAAACCCCCCCCCCAAAAAAAACCCCTCATCCTATGAGGCATTAAAGAAAATGCAGTGTGTTGGCGTTCCATTGTAAGAAACAAGAACTACAAAGATTTCACCTGTTCTGGCAAACCAGCCTAATCACCCAAAGCACACAAATTCCCATGACCGAGAGACAGGAACAGCACCAACCAGCTCTTAGAAATGAAGGTGAAGCAACCAATGGGTGACGGAAGGCAGATGTAACCAGGAATTGAACCCCACACAGCATGCCTTCCTTATATGCAATACAGAGATATACAAATTACCATTAGTTTAAAAGCAGGCTTTGCCTCTGAAGGAACACAGCCACACAAAGGTTAAGTTACAAATATTGTAAACAACAGGAAAACTGGCACCTTCTAAAGTGGCACCCAGCAGTGGCACAAGTACCTGTGATTTGCAAGCAAAGAGTCACACACACACACACACACACACACAATCTAGTCCAGATGAATTTTAGCACTATTGTCGTATGATTATTTAAAAGAGTGAGAGAAAGGGAGAAAAAAGAAAATCAAGGTGCCAAGGTTGAGCTGCAACAACTGGACCCGTTCTTGAACTGTGAGCACTTTGGATGGTGGCGAGGAGCCAGAAATTTCCACCTAGAGTCATTAATGAGATTTCTAGAAATGGTTTCTGACTGCTGCCAGTTGCTTCTTAGAAATGCAGCAGTTTCTATAGACCCGAGGCAAGGAGCGGTCCAGGGCCACCCAGAATGTGTCAGGCTCAGCAGCAACAAAGGTCAAGGGCAATGAACTGAGGAGAACAGGATAGGGGGCTTCCAGTGGACAGGGGGGGAAGGAGGTGGTCGGAGTAGGAATGGGAGGGTGCCCGTGGAAAAAGGGAAAGGATGCACTGAGGGATGCACTGAGGGATGCAGCCTGGCGCGCCAGAAGTACAGCTGTGGTTGGGGGGGAGAACTGGAAAAAAAAATGGGGTGCTGAGATGAAGGAGTTGAGGGGTGAGGGAAAGGGCAGCGATGCCATGGAAGACAGCCACAAAAGGGGGTAGCTAAATGGGGAGGGGGGAATTCCGCAAGGAAGAAAATAAGACGAAATGATAGGAAAGGGGAAGAAAGGGAGGATTTCTTTCCTCCTAAATAAAGGCACAAACACGCATTTTGCCTCCTGGGAACGAGATTTTGCGCCCTGCCCCCCTCCTCAAAACTCCGGGGCAGAAGTGAAAGATGAGGGAAGGGTTTCTCTCTCTCTCTATGCCCCCCCCCATCCCGGGCAGACTCATCCCCTCAGTCCCCCACCCCGCCCCAAGTAGTTTGCAAGGGAGACGCCGCTCTCACCAAAGGGAGTCCAGGTCCCATTCCTGCAGGAGAGCCAAGTCGAAGCTGTCCATGATGCGAGGTCTGTGGAGGTGAAGGAGGAGGAGGAGGAAGGTGTCAGAGCCGCTCGGCTGCAACCGCGCCACGGCCAAGGTGCATCTTCGCAGCGCCGCGGGCGGGCGGGCGAGCGGGCGAGCAAAAGGCGATGAGGAGAAGCGGGGGTCGCGCCGCTCTCGTCCTCCTTCCTAGGCGAAGCGCCGCCGCCGCCGCCGCCGCCGCTCGCCCACGGGCGGCTCCCGTCCCTCCGCCGCCTGGCTCGCCTCCTCTGCTCTGCTCTGCTCTCCTCTCCCCGCCCTCCTGCCTCCCTTGAGCGCGGGGCTGGCTCCGGCCGGGCGCCCTCGCCGCCGCCGCAGCAGCAGCAAGAAGCCCTCGGCGGCTCCTGGCGCGGGCGGTTGAGCGCGGAGAAGAAGCCGGGGTCCTGGTGGCCACCCGCTTTGTTCCCTGGCGGCGCTGGAGCCTGGGCGGGTGGCCTTGCTTGATTTAAAACAGGAGTGCAAGTCTGGGTTCATGTCTATATTTAAAGCGGCAGGGCACCGGAAAAAGCCATTCAAATAGGAAATCACCCACTCAGAGACCAGCTTGGCCTTCTCACTCTTCTGCCCTATATGATACTGGGGGCAGGGTGGCCTGGTACCTACCCCCCCAGTAGGGTTGCTAACTTCAGGTTGGGAAAGTCTTGGAGATTTGGGGATGGAGCCTGGGATGGACAGGGACCTGAGTGAGGCACAATGCCATAGAGTCTCCTCTCCAAAGCATCCATTTTCTCTAGGGGAACTGTAGTCTGTAATTCCAGGGGATCCCTGGAGGCTGGCAGTGGCATCCCTAACTGTGGGGGAGGTATGCAGACATTTTCTGTCTATGGGAAGAAGTCAGAAGACTTTCAGAAAAGGGCTTCCTGACCGTTCTGGCTATTTCCCTTCTGTGTATGCCTTTGGGTGACTCTCTGTTGTATAAGAGAAGCAGGCTGACTGGAAGTCTAAATGGCCCAGGAACAAGCCCAGCTGAACAGCCTCTCTGGTGCTGTGAGCCACCACTAGAGGGGCCACTCCAGTCAGGGCCAAGCCACCCGGCCTCCATGCATTGCACACCTTCCTTATTCACTTATTAAGAACACCAAACAATGGCTGCCACCATCAAACAAATGACAACAACGACGAGTACTTTATTATGGTTTTAGAATTGTTTTAATTGTAATTTATGTTTTAATGTAGCATTTATTTTTATGTAAGCCTCCCTGAGCCAGCTCTGGCTGAGAGGGCAGGGTAGAAATTCGAAAAATAAATAAAAATTCAGACTTGGGTGCCTGCTCACATCATCCTTCCCTCAAGTAATCCCACCCTTTCTGCCATGTCTGGATGGCTCCAAGCTGTGTCAGCATTCCTATTTGGCCTCACATGAAAATTGTTGAAGAACTGCAAGTAAGCACCTCAACATGATGGAAGATATGGCAGGCTAACATCTCATCTGTGAACACCTCACTGAGGTCCAGAAACAATCTGATTCCAGGACAGGGAAATGTAAGAATAAGCATCCTCTCTAGCTTGCTTAGATGTGATTTTATGTACATTTCCACTCATTGCTTCAACATTCATTTACAAAAAACAAGCCCATTAAATTCAGTGATGCTATTTGTTGTTGGTGACAGCTGCAGTATAAGACTTAACATCTTAAGCATGCCTCAGTTGGGAAAGAAGCTCTAAAGTCGTTATCTTGACTGGATCATAATAAAAGGATTAACGTTTTGCATTTATATGCAGTGTTTCCATGTACCATGGTGTGAGCCAGTGCATTACTATTCAGCCCTCTTAACAAGCATTAAATGCAATATAATTTATCAAGCACCTTTCATAGCACATGCTCTTAACTAGGTAGTATCCCTAACTCTCATGTCATATAATGATGGAATCTTTCAGTAATGAGTAAAACGAATGCACATATGTCTTCTCTATTAGCTTTAACTGGTCATGTGTTTGAGGGCCCTCTTAGGCTATGGAAATGTATACATTTTATTAGTCTCTTGTGTGTTCCTACACAATAACAATTCCTACACTACAGTCTCTCCCATCCATCTTGGTTTTTCAAAAACAGGAAGGGCTTATGCCAACAGAATAACCACAAGGTTCAAAACAAAGGAGAAAGGTACGCAAGTTGAGACGCATCCCATTATTTTAGAGGGCACCTAATGAAGTTAATAGAGTCAGGATGGACAAAAAGAAGTATTTACTCAGTGAGTGATTAAATGGTAGAATTCATTACCAGAGGACATAATGATGGCAATGGGCATACATAGCTTTAAAAAGGGATTATAAAGATTCATGGACGATAAATCCATCAGTGGCTAGTAGCCATGATGACTAAAGAAAACATCTGTGTTCAGAGGCAGTGATCCTCTGAATGACCAGTGTTGCTGAGAGCTAACATTAGGGTCTTTGTGTCTTATTGTCTATTTGTTGGTCCTTCTGGTCTATTGTATGAAATACAGGATGCGGAACTAGATGACCACGGGTCTAATCTAGCAGGGCTCTTCTTAACTGTTTTCTAGCAAAATGCTTTTTATGCCCAGCCATTCATATTGATACATTCACACATTAATATATGTGGAATGGGCTAATACACATGAAGAAAAAGGTGGATTGGAAATGTACAACAGAATATTTTGAATTAGAATTTAGACAGGTAAATAATATACTTCATATAAATAATAGCTAATGTTGATTCCCTAACTCTCTTCAGTTAAAAAAGGAAAAACTCACAAGAGACAAAGTATTAGTGTGCTAAAATAAAGCAGTCCCAGAAGTGTCTCTTACACAAAGGAGTGTGGTAAGGTTTTGGAAAGCACCTGTGGGTCCTCCTTCACCTTTGTGCCCTTTCAATTTGCCCTTTGTGTGTTGTGTTTACATATAGGATACCACTCTTGAGCACATGCTTTGAAATGGGTAAAAGGTATTTGAAATTAATGAATAAAAGCACAGAAATTAAGTAAACTTTACCTAGAGCAAAAGAAAAGATGAACCCACTTATATAGGATGTAGATTAGGAGACAAATTCAACCAGCTGTAACTCAGTTTTGGAAGACAATAGCCAGCTCATTTGTGGTTTTCTGTCCCTATCATAAGCACAACTTCCCCCCTCCCCTTTCTGATGACCATGTAAAACACATTTAGCCTTGTTAATTTCCTCCATTCCCAATTAAAATTACTATGCTGGAGTTAAGCAAGTTAATTGCCACAGGTGCTACTGCACTGGATGTAATTAAGGCATTTGGTCACAGCGATGCTTGTTCTATTGATATTGCTGTACTGCCTTTTCATTCCTAAGGAAACAAGTGTCCCAGCATGCCCTCCTACAGTTGTCAAAAGAAGCTGTTTCTGGGATCATATCTAGGGATTTCGTTTTTCCTGAAGCTGAATAATAACACGGGGCTTCTTTCCAGGTTGTAACCCGAAACAACAATTACTGACACAAATAAAAATAGGATGTCAGTATTTTCACTTGCAAGGCAGGCATGTTGTATTATTTCCCTGCTTGGCAATATTCTGTATTGAGCTTGGGATTAAAGTATGTGATTTAATCAAATATACGTAAGAGTGGCTTGTTTTGCAAGATTTGTTCTCACTCCCGAATTAAGGTTTAGAATTCACACCTTCAGACTTTCTAGACAAGATCTGCATGTCGGAGAGGAAAGAGAGAAGTAAAAACAAACAAACCTAGTTTCAAAATTGAGAACAGGTAGTCAGCTGAGTCAAGAAGGCCAAGAAGTCCTGGTGGGAAAATACAGCACTCTAGATGTCACTGAACCCCCAACCATAGTGGAAGTTTTGTTCCGTCCAGCACTGTTGTTTGAGCCTCCATTGCATTGCCCATACATTTTCAAGCTTCTCATGGCTACCTTAAGAACTAGGAACTCGATTTTTACATGGCAATTGAAATTTTCAGCATGTGAAGTCCTTTGCAATATACCAGATATTTATCACTGGGCAACAGCGGTCTAGCAGTGCAATATTATGCAGAGTTATTTAACTCTAAGCCCATGTAAATTGGTGGTCACCCGCTATACCTGCAGATACCTGCATCACTGCCACATAGCAGAGCCAGTGCTTTGACCCATTGACACTGAATCTATTGGATATGCAAGAGGAACTGGGAGGGAAAGGGTTAAGAGAATTCTGTCACTTGGGTATACTTGGCAGTTGACCCCATCTCTCATCAGTTAGATGCTGAGCCTGTATGGCCATTGCCTGCCTTCTGTTTTCATCTCATACAGGTCCTCTCTTCTCTTTCTTATGTGGGCTTGGACAGTAGCAAGTTAACCTTTTTGAAGTTAACCTGTTCACAATAATTTAAATGTCTCTACATGAATATGTCATATAAGATAAGCTTCTATTTTTGCACATAAAATTTCTTTTTCTTGTTACCGTTGGAGTCAGGTCATCTTTGTAATTTGTTTGAACAGCCTTTTCCCCTTAACTGGTGCTTCCAAGCTTCTGTGCTTCCAAGACAAGTGTTATTTTTTACATTTAACTCAATAGAATCATCATCTGGTTGCTGTGTTGTTATTTTTTACATTTAACCCAATAGAATCATCATCTGGTTGCTGTGTTGTGAATGTTAATCTTGAAACACCTGTTTCCAAACTAACCTGCATTATCCACTTATCACTTGAACTAGGAGACCCATTATGTTTTTATAGCTTGATCCTGATGATTCTACCCTAAATTATGAGGGCAAAACAGACAGATGGTTTCCATGAACTGTACTGCTGTATTTAGGCTTTCTTCAAGATAATCACCATAAAGTGGTAGTACAGAGGTGAAGAAAGGCAAGCTATATAGTGAGAAGAGATTCCAGAAAAGGCACCAAGACCTTAGGCTTTGGTGCCAAAGCATCCATTTTCTGAAGTGTTTTATCCCCAGCCCAATCATTCTTTTGGATCCCAGTACTACATCCTCCTACAACTTGTTTGATTTCAGCCTTAAAGGGTTTTTGTGGTCCCCTTTAAGTTTTCTTGTTCATC